AATACCCCTACGACCTTCTCAGAACCTTATTTAGTATTCTACAGAAAGTTTGGATGCAATATACCATGCGGTTTTTGTTGTAGACTGGCAAGAGAATAATAATAAGAAGAAGAATTACAAACGGCCATTTTGAGCGGATTTTATTGTAAGTGTAACATGCTTGAATTTTTGTGCATTTTTATATGTGTATAGCTTTAGCAGTAAATAGTAAAGGTTTTAAAGAGTTGCTTGAACTGAATCTTTACTGCTTAAGGTGTTTGTTGCCCGAAAGTTCTATTAGGGTTTCGTGTAATTCATTGCGATCCCTATTATGCACCACTATCGTGGTTCATGATGATTTAAAGGTTGTGTGTGTTTAGAATCATTAACTTAGTTTTATTGTTTAATTCTATCTTTCAATTTAGGCCCCCCAGTGGCACAGCGGTATGTCTGCGGAGTTGCAACGCTAGAATCTGGGTTTCGATACCTGTGGTGGGTAGAGCACAGATAGGCCATTGCGTAGCTTTGTGCTTAACTTGAAAAACAAACAAACAAACTTTCAATTCAGGACATCTTAATGTCGCGATATGTTATAAACTTGTAAAGGAAACCAGGCTTGTTTTTGTAATAAAGTTAAATGGATTAACTCTTTATCATCCATGGAAGGGTCTTTTTCCATTACCGTAATCGGCGTAAATGTGTAGGTAGAGATGATACAGGGTTAATAATTACGAGTACATATGGAAGAAACTAAACAGCAACATGAATATTCTTATATCAATGTAAAGTATTTCATTGCACGCATTCGACTTGTAGCTGGAACAACGAATTGTAATAATGAAACTAATTGTGTTGTTTTGTTTCACGGAAAACAAACAAACACAAGAACATGTTCAAATTATTTGTGTTTTCCCGCAGCTATAGAGCATCATGCATGTTAACGACAACACAACCAGAGAAGATCACATGATCAAAGGAAGAATCAGAGACTTCTGAAATAAAGGATCCTTACACTTCGAGACTGGATCATAAATATTTTCTGAAATTTCATATACAAATAAAGCATGTAAAGAAAACATTTTATATGAAAAAAAAAGCTCCTTAACATGGGATAAGCCAATTATACACAAATAAAACTGCCAGTTCTAAGAGTCTTGGCAATTATAAAGCCAAGTACACGAACAAGACTGACGGTTTTCAGAGTCTTGACAATTATAAAACCAATTACACGAACAAGACTGCCAGTTCTAAGAGTTTTGGCAATTATAAAGCCAGTTTACACGAACAAAGACTGCCAGTTCTAAAAGTCTTGGCAATCATAAAACCAGTTTACAAAATTACGACTGTTGATTCTAAGAGTGTTGGGAAAATACGAAAACCTTGTAGATATTTTGGCCACAAATTGTTTGTATTCAAATTAAGTTATTCGCCATCAGATAATTTATCAGAAGAAACTCGATAAGTGAATGGGCCACTGCATATCTTGAGTGCAAGTGTCAGAAACTGGGCAGAGACTTGTAAAGGATAATTGTTAATCTACATGATAAATTAAATTAACGATAAACTAAATTATCCCACTGACAAGACTGGTAAAATGGCGACCGTAAATAATCCAATCCTTATACAATGAGCATATTTCAGTAGAATTCTTAGAGTTTCAACACAGGTTTTATATGATTTGCATGACACTGTTCTCAAACTGTTATTCTCAAACTGTTTCCACCAAACGTCAAAAAGTGCATAAATTACGAAGCTCAAAGAAATTGATTTATCGAATTCTAAAGGTGTCTAGTTCATAAGAAGTTTAATTTAAATCAACTCAGTTAAGATATAAATATCACATAATCCGACAAGTTAGATTTGCCCCCCCACCCAGTGGCACAGCGGTATGTCTGCGGACTTACAACGCTAGAAACCGGGTTTCGATACCCATGGTGGGCAGAGCACAGATAGCCCTTTGTGTAGCTTTGTGCTTAACTACAAACAAACAAATCCACAAACTGGCTACAGGTAAACAATTATAATATATAAAAGGTGAATTATAGGAAATACGGAACATTTAATTGTTGTGCGAAGTGTAATATGACAAAATATTTCGAAAGAAAAGCCCACACTTTAGTATGTCTACATGCATGTTAATAATGTTGCTTATGACATATTCTACAGATGTAACTTTTATTTTTATATATATGTACATGTAATTATGGTCTTTAAGGCTTAACCCATGAACAACAACCTTGGATGTGGTCAGAGCTGACACAGACCCCACCACACAGCACTAATAATGAAAAATAACTAGTTTTTTAAATATTTTTGGTAACTTATAAGAATTATTTATAACATTTAAATGGTTTAAATTCAGGCAGCATATAGTACATGCATGAAAGTTCTATGATTCCCTATAAGAGGCGCTACCAGCACAGTTACCAGGTTCATACCAGCACTTGTATAGCTTATCTAGGGATAAAAAAGGGGATAGCGACTGTTTATTTAAACACATGCTAAATAGCTAGTGACTCCATCTAAAAATAAACATTAATACTCAATAGATCTCGCATTAGATATGCAATATCATGATCTATACAGTTGATATGTTTTATTTACCAAAAAGTCAGTTATTTCTGGAAAGAGTAGTCGTAATTCTTAACATTGTGTTATCTCAGTAACAACGTCTTAACTTAGCCAGAAAGTAACAGTATTTTAACTTACCCAGAAGGTAGTGACGTCGTCTACACCAGAACATTTGTCAGACAGACTTTGAGCGGGTACCAAGAGGTCGGAAAGCAGCTGGTTGGGTTTGTCCATCACCAGTATATGTACAAAAGAACCTGAAAAACAGGTCGGAAACACTATGCTTTGGATTAAAGGAATTGATTATATCGGTATCTTCAGTGTTAAAAAAAAATACCCTCTACAAGTTTACCAGTCAAACTGTCCAGCTCTTCAGCCTCGCATGTTATTTGATGTAAGATCATATAACGCAAGCTAGTGCATGTATTAACACTACTATCGTGAAAATAAATAAAATATGACTTTATTGCCGGTTCAGGGTTTGTGTTTTCACTTCACTATGAGCACCTTAATTCACCTTGCATGTGCGAAAAACGATTCTAATGAAGTTGTTAGCTGAAACGCTGGACCAAAACCAAAATGAACCAAGTTTCTTCGAGTCAATGGTTATTCATAATTAAGAGTTATTTGTATTTTATACTTATGGCAAAGCTACTTAAACTATCTATCGCCGTCCCTAATTTTAAACAGTTGACCAGAGGGAAGGCAGCCTGTCGGCAGCACCCTACCGGCAGACCAGAGGGGAGGCAGCCTGTCGGCACCACCCTACCAGCTGACCAGAGGGGAGGCAGTCTGTCGGCACCACCCTACCAGCTGACCAGAGGGAAGGCAGTCTGTCGGCAGCACCCTATCAGCAGACCAGAGGG